CAAACAACAAAAACTTGTCTGAATTATGTACTTGAAGCTCTTCTGTTGTATGTACTATTTCCCTCTCGCTCTCTTTGTTTTTCAATTTGTTATTGTTTGTTTACGTTGCCAGCCCAAAATATTGAACGGAAATATTGCAATATGATTTATTGAAAAAGTGTACAAATATGTGCGAGAGCGAGAGCCAGAGCCAGAGCCAGAGCCAGAGAGAGGCTGAGGATATTAGGTGGGGCCGCAGTATTTGCAGCGCATATTGCTGCCTGCCAAAAATTCAACGGAAATGAATTCGTTTATGGCGTAACATATTGTATTTTGGTTATCCGCTGTTATGACAGGCGACCAGGCCACCAGGCCACCAGCGGGTGCAGTTATGATTTGTAATCGGAAGGTATTTGCACGGCCTTTTGCGAAACGGCCAATTACCGGTTGCCGTTTTTGTTTACTCGCTGGCCAATTGAAAGGATTAATAAACAAGCGCTTAAAACAATATTCGATTACATTTGAGGGCAAATGGCAATCGGTATCATATTCTGTATGCGTTGCTGCATTAAAAGCGAATTATGTTCTCAGCTAGCATTATGCTAGCTATTTAGCCAGGGGATTAGTTGTTGGCATTGTTGGCACAGGCCAGGCCTATTGGTATTATTTGTAGATAACAGTTTTCAGTTTCAGCTGCCTCTGTGGCCTGACAATGCAAATTGCCAAAGACAATTTATTCCAATTGCTTGCTGCGCCAAAAGTTAAGCAAATATGTCAATTGACCCTGTGTGTGTGCGTGTGTGTGAGGCGTTGCAAACAAACAAAGCTCAGGACTTTTGCCAAAACCAACTAACCAAACGAAGCTTGTAGTTTAAAAGGCAATTTATCTTTGACTTTTGCAAAGTAAATGCCCGCCCGCCATTGTTTAAAGTGGTTCAATCGCCAGAAATCCCAAATTCAGTTCCAGACACTCTATGTATGGATACATGGTGGTGGTGGTGGTGGTGGTGGTGGGATTTGGGTGGGTTTGCTTAGCTTATGTGTGTCTGTCGGGTAAGCGCTTTTAACTAGTTCTCGCAGCGCTGCCTGTGCTGCTCGAGCATTCTCAACCACTCAATTACACACTCCACACACGCACACAGAAGTAATCAATTGAGCTGCCAGGCAAAAGGCACTAGGCAAACAATGGGCATTATACTCCAGAAGTTACAGTGGGGTGGGTGTACCAAAGACTTGCTCATAAATTTCTCGCGGCATTTGGAAATTGCATTGGAAAACGCACGTAAAACTATTTGAGCTGCTAACCTAAATAAATAAGCGATGGCAACTATCGTAGATGCCCGCAACAAAAACAGGAAAGCAAAACATTGACTGCAATAGTCGAATATTTAATGCCCTCATATAACATTAAATTGGTAGAGTATTGCCTGGAAGAGTAGTTAAAAATATGTGAAAGATAAAATGTGGCTTAAGGCCAGCCCAGAGATCAGCTGCGTATGGCTGATCGATGAGGCTAATATGTGGCATATTATTCCCAACTCTTGCCAAATAATTAATGCTTAATGATGAAAGATGCGGGCAGACTTGGCTTTAGCAACAAACATAGTTCTTTGTTTCTATCAAACATGTGCATAGTGCTCTGTATCTCGGATGTTGCAAATGTGATCAGCGTCTTTGAATACCCTAGCTAGGGTGTTGATGCACTGTAAGCCGCAGCTGGCAGCGGCAACAAGGCGACTCCAATTGGAAGCCCAAGCATGCAAGACAATTCTGTGAGCACTGGCAAAGAGAGCGAGAGAGAGACAGAGAGAGATTAGAGAGTGCGAGCGGGCGCCGCCAATGAACTGTGTGTTGCAGGCAATCAATAGATGCGGCTGCAACTTGAGATACAAGATACTTGCAGTGCAACCGTGGAACTTCCCACATGCTTGTGCGGAATGCTATGGAATGTGCACACGCATCTTCGATTGCCATGCGATGCGCTGCGCTGCGCTGCCCTCTCCTTGGCCAAGTTGCGGTGGGTGTGCAGTCGCTATTGCTGCTCAGCTGTGTGGCAGGGGCGGGATGGGAGAGCGAGTGGGGCAACTAGGCAGTAGCTTACATTTATGCGCGAAATTGTCGTATACATTTGCACATTCATAAATTCTCGTTGAGCGCCCCTAAAGCGACAGGCCGCAAGAGCCCGTACTGTTAGGCTTGTGCAGTCGGGCAATTGTGGAGTAGGCGGCTGTAAGCTGTAAGCTCCCGTGCTGCTGGTGGCATTAAAACTTCATCTTAATTTTATTTTGCTTTTATTTTATTTGCTTCGCTGCTTCTTTTTGTTTGCTGCTGCGTTTTATTGCCGCATTTCATGGCAACGTGGGGCAACCTTAGAACAGCACGTCATTAGGCGATAAATTATCTCTCATGTGCGCTGCATTTTGCATAAAATGTTGCCATGGTGCCGCCGCAAAAGTGTGCCAACAGCTGTGCCTGCCGCGTTGCAGCTGAGCCTGGACCTGAATCTGAATCTCTGCTTGAATCTGAATCTGGTGCGCGCTAACTGCAACTGGGAGCTGCTGCTGCTGCTGCTGCTGCTGGGGCATTAAAAGGATGCCAGGCAATTTGAATTTGTGAAATTCCATTGAGGGAAGCAAATGTTGGCGTAGCCGTTGCCGCTCAAAGCCGTTGCCGGGCCTCACTTATCTATGCACAAGATGTTGCCGTTTGATAAGCGCAACGCTGCGCAGCAAATCAGCAATTTATGTGCCGCCGCCGTTGCCGCTGCTGTTGCATTCATCATTGACTGCAGCAACAGTTGCTGCATGGAATGCGCTGCTGCCGTCGACGTGCGTTCAACTATGCAAATTTGTGCTAGCTGCCCCCACCTAACCGACAGCGTCCAACATTGACTTGCAACTTGCTACAACTTAGTAGCTTGCTGTGCATGTGTGTGTGTGTGTAGTTGTTGTCAAACAGCATTCAAGCACGATTCTGAGAAACATTCTTGCCCAGTGAGCTGACTTGCACTGCGACTGCAAGAATTTTCGCATTGCTTTGGCCCAAGCTTTGCCCAGATGCGGAGCAGATTATAAAATAAACGAGCTGAAATTATATTGAAGATTGCGAATAACGGTAGGGTCGATCGACGTACAAAAGCTGACTGCCATGACAGTTCAATCACTGAGCTGGCCCAGCTAGCTGCGAGCTGCTGAGCTATGGCCACCAATTGGTAGCATGGAAAGTGCCTGTCCCGCTGATAGCCACCATCTAGATACCAACGAAATAAATGACTTCGAGCATGCTTGCTGCAAGTGCTGCACTTGACTGCTAGTTGCTCTAACTGCTGCTATTTAAATTCAATATTCCACACATTTAAGTTTCCACCTGGTCGCTAATGATTCTTGCTGCTCTGCCGTTGACATCGCCTATTTCAGGTATGATAAATGGCAGTAGGTGTGGCAGCTAATGAGAGACCGCAGAGAGCAGATAAGGGTGTAGCAAAATGCCACAAGAACAGTTAGTAGCTTATGACCGAAGCTCAAATATGCTTAGATCACATTAAATACTATATTGGTAATATTATTGATACTTTTCAGACAAACGACTGACAGCAGAGGTCTAAAATAAATAACTTTGTGGAACATCTCAAATTTGTACATATATATCTATATATATGATCACAGCTTTACAAAAAAAAAATATTTATTCCTTCAAGAGTCTTTAGACATTGCCGTTTCGGTAACTTTCGTTAATGCATTTCTTCCTCGAAACGTTACTTATTTAGTAACAAAAGTCAAAGGCCGTCGCCATCGGCTATGCTCGTATTTGCTGAACTTTGACTATTCACTGTGGGCAGCAGTTTCTAAAGTGCAATTTAACGCTCTGCCATTGAAACAATTATGCCATAACAATTACGTTTTGGTTGCACATGCAAAGCCACGCCCTCGCCGCCCTCCATCTATTTAGCAGCATGTGCTGTAAAGTTGGCGCATTTAGCGCTGCTGCTGCTGCTGCTGATATGGCACTTGCTGCTTTTTAGCCATTACATTGCCCAGTCCAAGGAATTTTCATGCGTCAAATTGCCGCGCGTGCATTGCGTGTAATTACAGCAATAAAAATTGCAACACATTGCGTACAAACATGCAACATATCAACGGGCTGCACTGCCACTGCCACTGCCACTCGCCTTTTGATCAAAGCCCTGGTCATATTTTCAGCTGTGTAGCAATTATCTTATTTATTTCACTACATTTATCAAATACTGAACAAATTCACTGTTTCCCTAGAACTCAGCAGTTCAGTCGTCGGTCGTCTTCCCAGTTACAAACGGCTCGTTAGCCCAGTTGGCCACAAGTGAGTGCGCACTGTGGCTGCCACTTGGGTGGCCATAGCTAGAGCGGAACGCTAGTTGATTGCATTTTTAGCATAAATTTCAACGCATTTGACTAATGTTTGGCGATTTGTTATTGTTGGAGATGCAACCAATGCTTTCCTTGCCACCATTTTTCAACAGCCACTTTAGCTCTGACACTGGGAATGCATTCAGAATGCATCAGCCGACGGGAACTTATTGCAGGTACTGTGCGTGCGAGTGTCATGTGGCGACGATGGAAGTCGTATGCAAATGTCAGTTGCTACGCTACATGCTATTATGCAGCATTAAGTATACGCAGTGTGGGCACTACTTACCTGGAAGCACGACAGGAAGGCATTGCGTTGCCAACAGCAGAGAATTCAATTAACGGAATGGCTTCAGCGCGAACCACATGACCGTAATCAAAATCGCCAGAATCATCAACGGCACCAGAAATATCAAAATTCGCGCCCAGAGCGGAGTTTTGCTACTTGGCATTTTGAATCAACAGTTTACTGAGAAAGCAAAACCTTTTAAGGGGAACATCGCTATATTCTAAAATGATATAATAGATTCGAATAAAAAAAACATTTATTTTTATTTATCTGTTATTTTTATTGCCTGTGAAAAGTGTTCTAGAATTTGTGACATTATTTTCAACGCATATTTTTTGCTTGCTTTGCAGTTGCTGCCGCTACACAATCGAAAAACTCAACCATATTAAGGCCGTATATACAGATCAAGAAGCACGCCTCTACAAGACTGACCATAACCAATCCAAATGAAACCCATTTACTGCACTGCAACCCAATCATAGATCCTTATGACTACTATCAGGGTAAGTTAACGAGAGACTCGGCCTTTGTTGTAAGCCTTTGATTGACCTCTCTTGCTGCAGACGGCGCGCCCATTTACTGCAGCTGGTATCGCAACGGCGAAGCCATTGAACATTTGGCCATACGCAACAATCAGTTCTTTATCTATAAGAATGGAACGCTGCGACTGCCGCCAAACGAGCGCATCAGCGGCGTTTATCATTGTCTGCTTGAGTCGGATGATATGAAAGTAATATCCGACAGCATCACAGTCGAATATCCAGGTGCGTCTAACTCAGACCACAATCTACTTCTACTTTACACTATTTAATCCACATAATGCTTACAGTGTTGAAACGTCTTGTTGTTGGCCAACAACAGAGCGCTAACATAAGCGTCGTGGCCCAGCAAGCCCTTGTGCTTGGCTGTCCTTTTCTCAGTGTGCCCGCTGCCCGCATCAGCTGGTACTTTGGCAACGAGTCCTTGGCGAATGATAGCAGGCGAGTAAAGATCAGTGTTTGGACACCGAACGCGCAGCGGCTGGAGCTTGTTTGAACTTACTCCTATAGAACGCCTGCTGCTTATTTGGTGGCTTCAATAACGCTTGACATGCTTGGATTCGGATCACAATTGACAGCTGTCATTAATATGTTTTTGTCCCTTTTTCCCACTTTATTTCGCACAGTGCTTTTATCCTGAACAACGGCACGCTTATTGTGAGAAAACTGCAACCGGAACAAGCTGGAAAATACAAGTAAGTCACAAGCTAAAATAACTATAACTTCGTGTATAGTACAATTATTTTATATGGTTTCCTTTAAAGCTTGAGCATTGTTATTTATTATTTATTATGAAGACATTTCTCTATGCTTAATTTGAAGCTAATGTCATGGCTCTGTAAATTGTATATGATAGTCAGGATGATGTCTTTAGTAAGATAAGATTTCAAAATGACTAAAAAGCATTTATTGGCTTAATTTATTTCGTTGAGGTTGAGGTAGCATTTGCTGTAATACAAGCCGCAGCCTAAAGACTTCAAATGCTTAAAGAGCTCTGATACACATAGAGATGGTTTCTATATTATATATTCTATATATATATATTCTATATTCTATAGCTTGTATATTTAGATTACTTTATAGCAATTAATTTACTTATTTTTGAGCATGAGAATATGTTGAAAATATACATTCAACTGAAATGCATAATCGTGTCGAATCGAAATCAAATAAGTTTCAACACGCACGAGTCCGTTGCATCGCATCGTATTTCTTGTGCATTTGCTTTAAGGTGCAAATTATAATTGGCCATTGCTACTGTTGTTGCATATCAACACCTTAGGCACAATCCATCAATTCATCAGCAACCCTTCTGGAGGCGCTCTTTGGTTGGCTCAACCAACTTGACTCAGTGCATTAATTAACACCATGCGCTGGCCGAGTGACTGGCATAATTGTGTGCACTGTCCATGCCAATTAATGTGTGTGAAATATTATCCGTTGCAGATGCGTGGCCAAGAACCAGTATGCCAGCAGGACACACCGTCAGTTCGTGTGGCTGGTGCGTGTCGAGCCGAATGCCAGCGGGCCACAAATGCTGGCCACAACGACAACGCATCTGCTGCCTGCCTTCCAGAATGCCACACTATTTGTGCCCACAGGAGGCTCGCTGCAGCTGCAGTGCCACGCCATGGAGGACTATGTGCCCATCGAGTGGTGGCTGCAGCATCCCAACAACTCCCTGTCCCAGCTGAGTAACAATAGCATGACGCTGGAAATAACTAACGCCAGCATGGCCCGGCATGAGGGATACTACATGTGCACCACGCCCACCGACAGACAGACGTTTCGGGTGGTAGTTACTATACCGCCGAGAATAGTTAGCACGCTGCCCGTGGAGCTGGGCTATATCAGTTTGTCGACAACGCTGAGCTGTCGCGCTGAGGGCAATCCAGAGCCGAGTCTTAGCTGGTACCACAATGGAGCTCTGCTCAACAGTTCCTATACACGCTACATCAGTGGCAACGAGCTGCACATACACTCCTTCGATCCGGAGGAGGAGGGCATCTATCAGTGCTTTGCGCGGAATGTAGCTGGCGAGGATTCCGTCACTGGCGAGATGCGCTTCAAGCACCAGCTAGAGCAGCCGAATCCACTGCAGAATATACGCTGTTATCCGCACAGCTTTCACACCATCAATGTCACCTTTGACAGCCGCACTTTGGAGGTAATTTGTCAACTTGCAACACTTGCAACATGTGCGTTTTATTTGCTGATTCTATGTTGTTCTTGCAGTCAATGTTCGTGGTGCACATTGTGCGCAGCAATCCGCATCAGTGGAGCTCGTTCGCGCCCATGAAACTGAATCACACCTCGTTTGTGGTGATCTCAACTGGTCTGCCCATCTATCGTCCCTTCGCGCTAATCACCCGATTTCTCCTGCCCACCTCAGAGGTGCGTTCTGGCAGCATTGTGCCGCAGCAGATGATGATCAGTTCACTGCGCAGTCCGGCTGTTGTCTGCTGCACCCAAGGCCGTAAGTGGTTCTTTCTTAGTTTCAATCCAACTTGAAAGCTAATCACGTTTCTCTTTAACACAGTGCTGCTGCGCCTGGTGCATCTGGGCAACGATACCTTTGTGAAGTGGTCCCAGGCGGAGTTGGACAACAAAAAGTACTTTATACTACAGTTCTACATCAACCACACGCATCCGCATCCCGCCCAGCTGCTGGATGGCCCATTACATGGCACTGTCACGTCCGTAGAGGAGAAGGCGGACGAGGTGCGCCGCCAACTGACCATCATACGGCCACTCAATCAGTCGGCTGCTGCCACAGTGCTGCGTAATGCTGAGCACGAGGTGCTCGACAACGAAGTGGACGATCTCACGCTCGAAATAGAAGAGGACATCTTCAGTCTGGTAGTGGATGCGAACGTTACGGGCCTGCTCCTGCATCACTTTAGCCGCATAAAGATGCGTGTGCTCATCATCACCAGCGAGAACGAGTTTCTCGCTCAGGACTTTCGCTATGTACAGTGGAAGATTGTGAGTAGACTGTACTGTAGTGGCAAGTTGCACTGACTTACCTTGGCGTCTGAACTCTGGCGGATTCTGCTAGCATGCTCTAAAATCTCTTTCTCTCTTCCTCCCTTTATCTCTGCTCTCTCTCTCTCTCTCTCTCTCTCTCTGTTGCCTTTAGATCGAGAACGGCACCTCCGACCAAGCGAACATGTCCTTTCGCCTGATTACCGTGGAGTCGCGTATGCTGGCCTTTCAGTTCCTGGACAGCCTCAATGACACCTGCGTCTACGAGTGCCATCTGCACGTACAGTTGCCGCTGCGCAAGCAGGAGCCGAAATGCAAAGAGCGCACCATAGTCAATTCGATGCTGCTCGTCTCTGGCCTCAGTGCCAACGAGCGCTACAATTTTCATTTCTACAATTGCAAGCCGCAAATCTTCTATGGCGAAATGGATGTACAGACGTTACCAGACCGTAAGCCTTACCTATTTGTCTATATAATTTGTATTGATTTCCATTTTTACTCCTTTATCATTTAGCGCCCGGCACTATAAGCAACTCGCGTGTGGTCAAACACAATGGCCTCAAGCTTATATGGGAGCCGCCACTGCACCCCAATGGACGTGTCCATCACTATAATATACTCTGGACTTTGGGCAATGTCACACACGAGGCAAATGTCCTCGAGTGTCGCCCATGTTTCTATAAGGTAACGCAGAGGAAAAGCAAGGAAACTCTTCCAAAATTTCTTTGAACTTTTCCGGCTGTTGCTTAACTTTACTTATCGTGTTCTCTTTTGCAGTTCCCCAATGTTTCGGAAACAGACAAAATTCATGTGGCCGTGCGAGTTGTTGGTGAAACGGGCGTTGGCGCGCCCATATTCTTCGATTTGATCAATCATCACATACTGGAGACGGTACAGAACTCGTCGAATCATGAAGTCTACAGTGGCATTGCCATCGGTTCCCTGCTGTCCATGCTTTGTGTTTTTGGCTTTGCGCTCTTCATCATATTTCAGAGGCGTCGATTTAAGGCTCGCGTACCGGGACCTACGCACTTGACCACGCCCACAGACATCAATTTTGGTAATCTGAGCAGTGCTTCGGGCATTCCTGGGGACAGTGCCGGTGGTCTTAGTGGCAACACAATGCAGCAAGACTGTCACGAAATGCAGACACTGATTCCGCGCTCCCGTTATCACATCGAGCTGCTGCCAGAGCGCACGCTCGAGTATCAGACAAGCACAGCGAATGCTGCAACGTTGCCTAATGGTAACGGCAACGGCCACGGCAACGGAACGGCCACGCGGCGTCCGCTTCAGGAAGCACAACTGGAGCTGACTATTGCGGGCGTGCACAATCTATCGCAGCTGCCACTGTGCGCTGGCTCGCCGGAGCGTAAAACTGTGCAAGACGCCATGCTCCAAGAGGCAAAGGCCTTCTACATACCTTATCGCCATACGCCACCCAATGCAGTAGCGCTGCAGGCAAGCGGCAGCACCAACTCCAATGCCAGTCACAAGCAAAGTTCCTCAAAGAACAGCGATAGCGGTCTTGAGGTGGCGGTGCCGCCCAACTCGCTTCCGTTAGTGGCCACCGTGCCGGGCCTGGGCCTGGGCCGACGCAGTGGCAGCTTGAGCAGCAGCAGTGCCAGCAGCACTAGCAACGGCAGCAAGAAGCAATTCCATACAAATTTTGCGCGGCACTCAAATTCCAATGATGGCATCTGCCTGTTGGCCGAAGAGGAGTCGGCAGCGACGCTGACGCCGACATCGGAGAACGAGTATGCGTGTGTTAGTCTCACAAACGGTTTCAAGTTGCCCGCCGAAATGACAAAGCAAATGCCGAGCAAAAGCCAATTTAGCAACAACAATAACAGCAGCAGCAGCAGCAGCAGCCAAAAATCCGCTGTTGTCCAGCAGAAGGATCGCCAGCAGCAGCAGCAGCAGCAGCAGCCGATGCCTCAACAGTATCCTGCTGCATCCATAGTTCCTGTCAACGGGCCACAGACTCACTCTGTGGGCGTTAAGAGCAAAAAGACGGCAACAATGGCCAAACAGGCGTGGCCAGCGTCTACGGCCCTGAATCGTCGTGCCCAAGTCGATCCAAATGGCTGAGCCTAAATAGTTGCCATTGTTGTCGTCGCCTCGCCAAGCAAAAGTATTTCATGAAGCTACTAATGCACATACACTTACACTTTACTCTACACACACACACACAAACACACACAGACACACACAAACACGCTTACACATTCGCAGCTCGAAACATTCCAAACATTGTGGATCCCTATATTTGCATTAGCTCAGTATAAGGACACATAAGTATATGCTTAGTTATATGGAGTACATTTTATAAATGTATTTATTTATCTTTATCTACGAGAACCATGAGAATATGATAATATACGAGAACATAAGTACATAGGCAGCATATTTATATACACAGATATACATTAACGCATATTTACTTTAATTTTAAGCACATGAACGTTTTTAAACTTGTTTAGTTTTTGTTTGTTTTCTTCTGTTAATTGAGGCTAAATATAATTATTATTTTAATTTGTAGTAAACGTTCTCTAATATGAATTTATTTAACTGCCGTAGTATTCTATTAGAACACACATAGCCAAAAACCAAACAAATGCAATAGCCCAGCTCACACACACACAAATATATATATATACACTCACACACACTCACACAATCAACCACAATAGTCACAATAGTGTTCATATCGATTTACTGCAAATAATTACATATAAATATTTCCATTCATATTTAAGTAAAATAATGAATTTTCGCATTTTAATTGCTGCATTTTGCGTTTTGTTTGAACATTTTTCAGTTGTTTGTTTATTATTTTTTAATTTCTGTTTAACCGATATATCAAATGTACCTGATTATTTTCATTTTGCACCGGAACACAAAACACAAAGCAAACAAACACGCATATTGCATTTCGATTCTATTTAAATAGACCTTTTGTTAATGCCTTGCACGCATTTCAAATGTACCGCAGCCGTATTGAACGAGTCTATCCCAATTACCGACTGTACCTAGTTCGTACAAACCTGTAAACCTCTAGCTATGTCACACACACACACCATACACCATAAACCATACACCACATACACACACACACAGAACATCAGATATTATATTTCTATAAGCATTGCAAGTTATATAAGATGTATTTAACACGGAGCACATAATTTAAAATGAGCTCATCTATAATATGTATTTTGTGAATTGTTGTTCAATGTTCTAAAGCCGATGTGAAAATTGTTATAAAATACATAGCACACACACACACACACTGACACACAACCAAACACGCAGACATTCCATTTTCATAGACGTATTTAACTAGAGTACATGCATCAAAATATATTACTGAATGAAATCACAAAAAAAAAACCAAGTAGAAAAAAAGTTGAATTAAGCACGCAAATTCAATTAAACAATATATGTACGATTCCATATTGACAGAGAGTGTTTAAGAACTGTAACTGTATACGTATTTAGATATAAGTGCAATAACATCCATTTAAACCATAAACAAACCCGTCAACCCACAACCCACAACCAACCAAACAAATCTAAACAAAAATGACAAACAATAGTACCTTTCCCATTGGAAATGAAAAGTAATATGCATAGAAACAGTAAATATATTAGAATATGTGACTTCCGCAATGGTATACGTGCTTCTTTGCGAAAACATAGCAATACGTAGCTCGTTTTCCTCCAAGATCCAGTCTTGGGCCGTACCAATTCAAATTGTGTTCATATTGAAATAGGCCACAAAGTTGACATTTCAACGTCATTTGGAATCAATTGATAGAACATAGTTTTACACATACGATACTTCAAAGGTGTTCCGTCAAACAACATTTAAGATAAATAATAAAAAAACAACAACAAGCTCAGTAAAACGACTTTTAAACAAATCAAATTTAATTCCAACTAAAAATATTCCGTAAATGAACTCGAAATTCCTAAGACAAAAAAAAACAAAAAGAAAATTTTAAGCAAAAGTTAAATATACAGAAAAAAAATATTATGCAGCAAAAGGCAAAATAAATGTATTTAATTAAAACAATATATAAAAGTAGCTCTTAAGAAATACATTTAGAAAAGAGAAAGAACGAAAATAACATGATAAGAATGTGGAATTAAAAAATTAATAACTGCGATTGTGATCGCTGTGTAAGTGGATGTGATAAATGTTTAAAATATTTAAGCGCAAAAACAATAAAAACAAATATGAAAATCATTATTCGATGGCATAAGAATGCGTATTGCGACTTTTACATAGACGTTTTTGGCTAAAGCGAAACGAAGAAAAATCAATAACTAATAGAGTCCACTAAAATTGTAAGAAATTTTGTTCTTAACTCTTTGATAATGCTGATCCTAATCATTATTTGAACTAAGCATGATTTATACGTACTTTTAGTTTGGGTCTTAAGTTCTCATTCTGTATACCTCATTAGTCGAGTGGAAATTAAATTGTAACTATATTTTACGCATTTAGTTGGTTGCCCCATCTGTAATATATATTTAATGCGAAATTGCTTAAAATCTGATCAGAAATCGGACGAAGGATGAAAATTAAAAACAGAATCGAATGTATTTTTTATGTAATTTATATACATTGTATATGCTACAGAAATATTATTGTATTAAATGTGGAAACTCAGCTGGCAAATATGCGATATAAATATATATGTATAACTCTTATATATATATATATGTCTTTGTATAATCGTGTTTTCGGTGCCAGTAATTTGACATACCAACCAGCAATTAGCGCGGCTACAGAGTCTAATAATATGTAACGATGATTATACTATATATATAAATATATATATATGTGCGAAAAGGTGAAGAACGCTAGAAAAGCATCCTTAACTATTGGAAAGAAAAAAAAACCATATTAAAACTAAGTTATGACAACAAAAGAATTAATACAATCTGCATTTTTATTCACTATAAACGTTGAACGTACTTTTATTAGTAATTATGTACAATATAATTTTCTTAGCTGTAAATCTTTAGTAACTCTCAGTACTTAACAGGTTTGTATAAAATATTTAATGGACATAATAATATCATTATCAATGCCCATACAGCTTGATTCGATGGTAACGTTTAACGGTGTCGTCCATTTACACAAATACACAACATAATCAATTTCAAATGAAATTTTCCAAAGTTGTATAAAGGTATGAATATCCTTCCAGATAGAGCTTACTCCGGGCTATGGTATATGCTAAATACCTGTACAGTACTATTATTTAATGATCACATCACAACTAACTGAACAAATGATCACAATACAAAATCGCGCAACTTGCCATAACCTACAAATAAATTTGTATATATATATAAATGAATGAGTTTACGTGCTAAATGGCATGCTGAAACGCATCTTCTTGAGTGTCTGATGAAATGAAATCTCTGAAGCAAACCTTTCGCTCAGTCAAACTATAATTTGGATCTGTTGACGATATAATTATACCCGAGACATAATCAATGACAATGACTGACGAAGGCTAACTCTATATTTCAAACATGAATAAAAACATGAATAATTCCAAAAACACAAAGATCTAAATTTTAAGTCAAATTTCCCTTGAATGATTAGTGATGAATCAACTAACAAAAAAAGCTATGTATGCTATGCTATGCTATGCACCATAACAAGAAAAAGCGCTCCTCAATATAAGGTTAAGGTACGCATAATTATCGGGCAACTTATAGTTGTAAGCCTATTCACATATCGATTCCAATTCATTGAGGTCCTGCTACACGTACATGTAGCTAATATTGACGGTGCGCTCAGCACACCTTCTTTATCATTTTCACCAACTCTTTGTACAGAATGCAATCCCGACTGCGGGGCTTGCAGATCTCGCGATGATCCAGCCGTATGCCGCATACTTCACCAAAACCGGGATCTGTTCAGAGTTTAAAACATAGATTAATTGAAATACGTGTGATTAATTAAACTTTGAAGCTTACCAGCCGAATCCACGCCCACAATACGCAAATAGAGCACTGACATGAGCGTCAGAGCTGTTTCTACAAAACTGAAAACCTCGATTTTCAAATGACCCAAGTGATAGAGGCCGGCGAAACGACGATGTAAATCCAGCAGATATTTGTTATCTATCAAATAAAAGCATGTAGAATCGGTATAGGAATGTATAGCAGCAACATACTCTTTTCTATCTCCAGCAGTTCCACGGAGCGAGATAGCAACGGCGCCTTAATCGAAGCCAAATGGGAGCCACGATGCGGCACCGAGTAGAAGAAACAGCCACGAGCCGATTGCCAGAGTGGCCTCATGGCTGGACGTCCACATTCCCAAGCATCCACGAGCAGCTGCTTGATGAAGAGGCCTCCTTTCGAGTGGCCTACATAGATGATGGGATGTCCGTGGCCAACGCGATGCTGCATTAGAAGTTCGGCCATTTCGCGTGAGCGCTGAATGAGGCTGGAGCGCGGCTCTTTAGTCTTCCACAGTGGACGCCACAGATAGGGATCTGTCGTATAGTTGACAGCTATGACCCGAACGCCCGGACAGTCCAATGGCAGCCAGTCTCCGGGCCAGCATTTGGAGTAGTTGGGATCATTGGCGGATGGTTTCTTTTTATTTTTGCTGGAAGGCTTCCGCGTTGTGGAAGGCTGCGAGCTGTCCAGATTGCCGCTGCTGCTGTTCTCAGCCTGCAACATAGACTCTAGCTCGCCTGGCAAGATTTGGCTGTTATCGTGCATGCGCAGACGGAATGTAGGGAAGCTGTACTCGATGCCTTCACAGATTTGAATATCCTCCGGCTCCCCGCAGACATAAGCATAGCTGTGAGAGGATCATGAATAGGTAAGTGATCAAAATTAAAGCAAAGTATTTGATTTCTACCCACTCTTCGGCCATGTCATTATTGTCGGAAGCACTACAGAGATGTGGCTCAATCGTTTGTTGCAAGGCTGCGCGCTGCCAGGCGGCATCTGTATCGGCATCCTTATCCAAGGTGCGATTGCAGGAAGCAAACTTGGCGCGTTTCTCACGAGGCGCTGGATGTATTGCGGCACTGCGGGAATAACGAGGTCGCTTGGGCGGACGCACCGGTGGCCGGGGCGGACGATCGAACTCCACCGGATGGCGTTCATTTTGCCAAAGACCCTGCCGCCACGTGTTCACCAGCGAGCCGTGCAGGCCATGCACAAGCACGATGTCGGCGCGTATCTGCGTGCCCGGTTCCGGTGCGGCAAGTATGTTGAGGGTGCAGCAGCTGGAGCTAGAGCTCTGAAGACTGTAGATAGGCGGCCCCTGCAACGGTGTGCTGGGCGTTGTGGGCGTATTAGGCGGTATGGGTGTGATCGGTATACGGGTGGTCAGCGTATCGGGCAGAATTTCCAAGCCATCTTGGGACTTGCGCAATTTAAGTAAATTGAGCAAAGGCCCCAGACGATTGGAAACTGTCAATGAAAGAGATTGCGGGTTGAGCGATAAGAATTTGATATAACAAGCTGTGAATTGCGGCATGAGCATGATGAACCAATGAGTAATTGGGTAACTGAGAGAGTGCTAGGCATTTCAAGTACTAACCTTGTACGGAAGATAGATTCAGCGATAAGGTGTTGGCGGCGAAGGCCACCAGATTGGTCAGCGCCTGGCGACTAGAGGTCAGATTCTGTAGCACGCGAAGCACGCGAACATCGCGTATGCCTTTAATGCCGCGGGCGACACCATTGGCCAAAGGCAGCACCAGACGCACCAGGACTCCAAGGACAACACGCATGCTGCCACTGTTATGACTGCGCAATAGAGGAAAATAGGCACAAGCTGAGCAATGGCGAATGACTAGATCATATATAGGGAAAATACTAACGGTTCCATTAAGGAGCCGCCACTGGATGAGCGCACCAGCTGGTTAATCGCCTGCTCCTCCTCTTGGCGATCAATTTCCAGCTCGTCGCCATTGCGGATTGTATTGTCCAGCGCCTGAGCTGTCCTCTGCTGTCCCACTTCCTCGGCAATGCTCATCATGGCAATGTCGCCGACGTAATGCTCATCCATTGAGTGCAACGGAGACTCCTGGTTGTCGGCTTTGTTGTGTTGTATGTGTGTGTTGTCAGTGTCGCTTGCATTTACTTCAGCGCCGCATAATGCACTGTTGTTCTTATGAGCTTCACTCTTAGTGAACATATTTGTTAGTGCTCTCTCTTGGTTATTCGCCACCTCGATCTGCCCCGCTGGCCTGCTGCCAATTAGCACAGATTGAACATGTCGCCAGTGAAGAGCTGCGCACTAAGCTGCAAATAAATTTGAATTGAATTTTAATCATATGCACTCAGTTGGCCACCAATGTCAATGTCACCGCGCTGCACACTTAGTGCAATAAGTACTTTGCACTCATTGTGTTTACCTTTCAGAAGACGGTGTCAGTCTAAAAATATAGCCGCACTAGCACAGAACGGGGCTGCATCAAAACAATTATACGACTTGTGTGTAACGAATTTGTAAGCAAACGGCCTCTGGGGTAAAACGAGCCGCTATCGGCTAACAGCTAACTTGCTGCTCACTATTTATTTCCCCGCTGGATTACGGGATTTACTCCAAGTATATGCGAACAGCTTTTCATTTAAAATATGCTCAAATCTAACAGGCCGCCTACTACGTTTGAAAATTCTTTCAACTAGCAATATTGAATGCGTCATCTAGAAAACACCTAGAAATATATACGATGCTTATTCAAATGTTCGATGTGCGATTGCTATCGAAAACAAATCTAAATATTTATACTGGTTTAGGTATTTAGTGAGATTCCTCATGTTGGCTCAGATGTAGTTTGTATCATAAACGAAATTGGCATTGCCTGATAAAGCCAGCACAGCTCTTGTCTAAGACTGCATATGCAACATATATCAATATCACTCATACCACCTGTATGCCAGTGGCCCATTTGCTGCGATTTCCATTAGATAACCAACCACAGTGGCCATAAGAGCTACATATTCTAAGTGTGTTACGTTGACTGTTACGCCGCATGGCGCAGTCGAGCCGCAAAAATTCAAGTTGAGGGTCGTGGCATGTGGCACGGCACGTAAAAGGGCAAAGCTTGTTGCATGTATGTCCGCATGTGTCGTGTAGGTCCAGCACAATGGCTTTTGTTATTGCAGCACCTTTTGTAGTTGTAAATTGCACAAATAGTCCACAGCAAGCGGCGCAAATAACTGCTCAACTTAACAAAGCACATTTGCATTAGCATATGCATGCGAAATGTAATTACAAACACCATCATTGAGCATCACAATATCCCAACTGATCGGGAGAGCAGACGCCCACCCATATTCATATGACACTGGCCCAGCAGCTCGACTTACAAATTTGTTTCGCTTGGGCGTGTGAGCGAACCGCGCACGGTGCAACTCGAAGTAGAACTGCGGCCGGCACTTTCAGGCAGCCGAGGCCGAGGCCGAGGCCCAGCAGTGGCAGCAGTCGCCACAGCCGCTAATGCGCACCACGTTCGCGCTTGGCTCAGAGGTTGAGTGGTTGTGTTGAGTGGTTGTGCTGTGACGAGCGAAAAACAACTCAAATGTCATTCAAACGTTGCTAGCACCAGTATCGTGTATTGAGCACTTCAATTGTCAGCTGGAGTGCATCAAAAGACACAAGTCAATTGCAATCAAGTGTAGACAATTGCAGGCTAACTTTGTTGCTGGCTTTATAAATAAACAATTTAGAAACACAATATGAAAGGTTTCATTTGCTCTTATCGCTTAGTCTGCTTCTTTTCGCCGAAATGTTTGTTCCTCCTAATTAGCAGAACTCTTTCTTTAGCTCATTTGCTGATTAAATTTTAATACCCTACAGTTCGTTTTGATCGTATTAAGATAAGCCCATGCCTAAATTGGGCAAGTATGTTGCATAAACGAGATAAATTTAATAATGAATAAATGAAAATAAGATTTTATTTTGTATTGGTTCTAATTAATTAATTAAGCGTCAATGTCTTACATCTCACTCACTCTCTCTCTCTGCCTCGCTCGTTATATTTTTATCTACCTACCCCATACCTATCTTTCTCTCCTCTCATTGTATCTATCTCGTGCTCTCTCACTCTTTCCCTCTGTCTCTGTCACTTTCTCTCTCTCATTCTCTCCCTTTAAACATATCTTTATCTCTCTCCCTCTCTCGCTCGCTCGTTATATCTTTATCCACTACCTCTCTTTCTCTTTGGCTTTGTATCTATTTCGTTCTCTCTCCCACTTTTACTCTCTCACTCTGTCTCTCTTTCTTTATACATATCTTTATCTCTCTCTCATTCTCCTACTACCCCTATTTTTCTGTGGTCGTATATCTATTTCGTTCATTTTTACTCTCATTTTCTCTCTCTCGTTATTTCGTTATCCACTACCTCTTGCTCTCTTTCGCTTTGTATCTATCTCGTTCGCTCTCACTCGCTCTAGTGCCTGCAGCACTTAAAGCAAGGGTATTTTAAAGTCGAGTTGGTTTTGGTTTATCTATTTTTGTTCTGTCGTTTTGCTACTGGCTGATAAGACCGGTGCTACTGACCCATTAGCACAGGTGGCGCATGGCATCAGCTTTTCCCATTGACGGGTTGAACTTTAATTAATTACTTGGCATCAAGTTGATTGGTTCGAATAATTTATGCCATTATCAATGGAAAGAATACAGCCATATTCCATGGACTGCGAGTCCACTAATTTCCTTTATCTAATTCGGGGTCCGTGAACCTTGACAGCAGACAATTGTAGCGCTCTTGAAATGCTGTGTAGACAATTATCGGCTATCTCAAGTGCATGGCTGCGTGAGATAAGCAGACTGATAAAAGGAATTCGACTGCAATTGGTTGTTCACGACAAATGGAAGCCTAGACAGTCCACAATCTACTACTACGGCTTGCACTCATGAGCAGAATAAATAAAAGCTTATCGCTGGGCATTGTCGATTGCATTGTGTAATAAGTTGTAGTCGACAGGTGAAGGTAGTGCAGTTTCTTTTGTGGAATTGAGTTATGCAAATGCATTCAGTTTTGTTGCTATTTTTTAAATAGAAGACAATTTTCAGCCGTATCTAAGCAAGTTATACATATTTGATTTTCGATACTAAACACAGAAATTGTTGTAAAATTTGTTGTTCCAAATGTGAAGTTGACTAAGACTTGATTTGTTTCGATTAACGTTGTCGTAAATTTATGAATATATAAATAATTATTGTAATAAGCTCATGCAATTTTTCGGCTGCAAGGTGTTAAGGTGACGCTGTACTGTGACTTTGTTCTGGATATAGCTCTTGGCCCCTGCGACGGTGTTGCCAGAGGGGCGTATTATACATTGTTACTCATACGCCGTGTGGACTTTGTACAGCAGCCGAACAACGCAACGTCTCTTTATCGAGAGTCTGTCGCAGTTGCATTCACTTTTTGTTGCTGCTGTCTTTTATCAGAGAATACGGCGTAATAAGGCCACTAGGCAACTGCACTTCCAGATGGTTAAGCAAATATATGAACGCGCTGCCATCAGCGACTTTCATGTTATTGTTTCCATTTTTTATGGTAGATAATTGTTTTCAATGAAATTTTTTACACAAGTCGATTCGCTCGCAAACAAACTGGTGGTGATAGAATTTATTAACTGGAAATTGGGTGGCAACGCCGCATGAAAGGTAACCATCAGCCGGTGAACATCGTCATTGAATTGTCGCATGTAGCTGCCACATGAGCCTCAAATAACGTGTGCATGATATACACATATATATATATACGAGGGCTTGCATGCTAGAATGGCCAACAAGTTCACCTGCCACTCAGTCAGCCTCTCATAACGACGCCCACGCAACGGCAGGTGTCGAGTGTGCAATAAACTGGAACTGTAGCAAATCGGAATCTAAGCGCCAATGCCCATTTCTGTGACATAATTCAGCTCAGCTTATTCAAACGCTTCAATTGATTCCAATTACGACAGTCAATTCCGATTCATACTTTTTTATACGTACATATATACATATATGGAATAATTATTGAAATCTTAAATTACGCTGCATGACAGGTTATATGCCTTAAAACCACGATTTGTGGAATTCTAGACGTGTTCAGTTTATTTTTAAAACAACTAATGATAGCCACTTGAGTTGGGACAAGATAACCATGCGTCGCTTGTCAACTGATCGTCGAAAAGTGCGTAAAATAAAACTGAATTAGTGTTTTATGATCCGAGTCACAATAATTTGTTTGCAATAAGGCAGAGGTCAATCGACTGGAACTATTCGAAACAGAAAAACAAAGGTATATTAACTTCGTTGCCATCATTATCAATATATATATTTTGTGTGTATCCATTACGAAACTCAATTTAGATTTTAATGCACTGTTAAGAAGTAAGTTCGATCTGAAACGCTTTAAAGTTCAAAATGAATCGTCATTCAAGGGTCAACTAAACTTGAGGCAAGAACGCGGCCTAGGACGATTCAGTTTACTTTGTATATCTTTAAACGAAATAAAGTGATAATCAAGTAGATTATATATATATTTATATATATGACCCTATATGGGAAAAAAGGCTTAATTAACACAGAAAATAATTAAAAAGATATTTAAGTTGCTGTGGCGAACAGGTTGAAGTAGATAATCTTCGCATGGCAACCAACAAAATGTTTAACTTATTAAATATATAAGCAAAAAAGTTTCAAAAAATAATTCAAGTTCAGCAAAAGATTTTTTATTGCATTTGTGACTTTTGAAATACTTTAAATTTGTTGACACCTTTATATATATATATTCATAATTTATTTATATTTTCAAATTTATAGATCTATTTTCCTCTTGTTAATTTCTCTTACATTTGAAAGGCTGGCCAAACACCGAAGAATTCTTAAACAAGTTATGCTAAATCTGTGAGCATTGAAATATATAAATATACATACAGAAGCGTGTAGCTATGAGTATCAAGCTATATAGACATCAGGCCACATTATAAATATTTTTTTGTATTTTATTTATTCTTTTTTTCTGCTGCTATGAGGAACAGAATCAAAGTCCGCAGAGCCTTGGGCCACTAAAAGACCGTGTCTGAATTCTAAATGAAGTGGTTTTAGCCAAGAGGTGGTATGATTAAATCGGTTAGCTCGTATGATATCACTTATAATATGCAGCATGTACAGCTAGTGTGCGAGCAACGAATTCCCTAATCGACTAAAGCCTGTACATAGACAAGAGCAATGTGCAGCTGACAAATCTAACAGCTGTCACTAACAAAGCAAAACAATTCGTGTTTCCGTATTAACAACTCAGCCCTACCAGCCGGCATACGGCTGGGAGCCTAAAGAGTTTCACAGTGTGTGCTAGCAAGCTATGACAGGGCAGCAAGTGGTTGTTGATGGTGATGTGTGCGGCTTTTGTAACTGGCTAAGACAGGGCAGGCACGGGAGAGAAAAGGGCGTGGGCGTAAGCGTGGGCCTGGGCTGAAAAATTCGCCTTAACCTTCGTACACTTGGGATGTGAGTTCACAAAGCTCCGAGCAGAAGCACAAGAAATGAAATAATCATCGCTGTGGACTAACTATATATAAAACATACATATAGATGTACATACGTATATATACATATACGTATATATATATACATATATATATTGTTGTTGTGCATGGTGGAAACGTGTTTTGTGTACATGATATTTGTTTGCCCCCGAACAGCTGGATAACTCCACTATGCGACTATTTTGTGGTACAGTGTAGGGCAGCTAAATAGAAGAGCAGGCAGCTCTTGGCTTGGCAGCATGTGCGCCAACTGCTCAGTCGAATCGCAGTGTAAATACAATGCTCAGAGCTATGTATGTATATAGGCATATACGCATGACAAATTGTGTTTGATTGCGATTCAGCTCAAGCAGTTGAATCTTTTTAGAAGAACTTTCGCGCACAAATTGCAAATTCAAGTTGTTTTTGTTATTCAAAGAGTTCAATTAGCATTTCACACCTGTTTGATTATAATTTGGATTTTGTTTTATCAGTTCGTTCTTTGCTTTTCAACTATTTAAACAACCATTCATATAATTTGACTTCTTTGTTTTTGCTGTCGATGTAGTACTACGATAGCAGCCAACAGCAACAAGCACGCGACGTTGTTGTTATTGTTATTGCTGAGTTTTACGAGGGAGGAAACTGAATTGAGAGCTCTCGCAAGATTTGAATAAGATTTATCGGCTAGCATAGTTTATACAACAACATCTATATACAAATACATATACACATGGGTACAACAATAGACACAGAGCACACACTCACACTAGACACTTAAACTTGATGGACAGAAAAGCTTTTTCCGTATCTCAACGTAAACGACCACAACTACGCGTCCACAGCGCTCGAACGCTCAACAGCAACTATTTATTATTACAAAAACCACATACAAATCCGTGGGGAGCAGATTCACTCATGCTCATATTCGCTCACAGTCGCACACACAGCCCGCAAGTTCATTTACAGTGAGTGTCAACAAAAAAGTTTTGCGTTAACTTAAAAGCAGCTGGCGCCGTTGCTAGGCTCGAGCTTTTCGATGTTCAGAGCACAAGCAAATAAGGAGAGAGAGAGAGAGAGAGAACAAAGCATAAATGAAAAGCTAAGAGAGCGATTATTGCATTGCGGGGCTGTCAACTTGTTTCAAAATCAAGGCGGTATTTTATTAATTTTAAATTTGGTTGCTTTTTTTTTAGCATATATACATATATGCAAACATATGAAAATATATGTTTTAACAAATGAATTGACCTTACAAATGGTCTTGCCAAAAAAGCGACATCTTAGTCTCCTTTGACCAGCGTCGCAGACAAATGTGTCTTTGGCTGTCACAAAAATTACGTTAACGTTACACTTAGCGGATCCCGCGTGAAAATGCCGTTAGTCCAAATATTCATTAGCCAGTTCAGGAAGATGATGAGGAAGAATCCGAGCTGCTGGAGCTGGAGCTGGAGTCGCTGCTTTGGGCATGCTTTCGGCGTCGCGATTTCTTCTCATCAATCACCTCATAGCTGGGCAGTGTGGAGTTACTGGAGTCCGAGCTGCTGCTGCTTGAGCTGCTCGACTCCTCAATAACCGCCTCGATTTTACGCGACTTCCTATCAAAATAAATATTAGAGTAAATAAGAATTTGATTGGCCGACTTTTGCCTACTTCTTATCAGCTTTTTCGGCGTTTTTGGCGCGTTTCTGCTTTTTCATCGCATCGCAGTCGCTCGGTGAGCTGCTGCAGTTGCGCTTCGACTTCTTGCCCTTTTTATCCTTGTTGCTGGCCTTGGTGGAGTACAGATTCTGTGAGCTGGCAGTGGAGTAGCCCGTATCCTTACGCTTACGCTTCTTCCTGCGTGAAAGGAAACAAAGGTTACGCATTATTTCATCGCCTAGCTCGCCAGGTTGCCTTACTTATCCTTTTTGTCTCGCTTTTTCTTGCTGTAACTGGCTTCTTGTTCCACACAATCTCGATCCTTAGCTCTGGTTTGAGTAAAGTAAACCATATATTCTTTTTGACAATTTGTTTTCCTTTAAGCACTCACTTCTTAATTTTCTTTTTGACATCCCCGCCCCGTTCATTGGATATCATATAAATGCTGTTCTGGTCCGCGTCGTGCACTCGCCTTCTAGATTGATACTGACGCGCCTTGGCCATGCGACTCTCTCGGCGGCTCTTCCAGAACTCCGCATTGACCACATAAAGACGATACAGTTGGAGTATAATCACCAACGAGTTCTTGCCTGAAAATTTGATATTTTTAGTTAATCTTTTTATAATATTACACTGACTTACAGGTAAAAAACACATTCATGTAGTTAATTATCTTGTATTGAAATATAATCAATAAGCGAAAGGTGAGAAACGGCGCATCCTGAAGAATCACGTTCAGCACTATGCCTGCAGAAGAGGAACATAATCATATATAGAGTTCTGCATCAGAGCCTTTCCCAACTTATAATTATACGTTACCCCAGACATCAATGCCGCAGCAGCAGTTCTGGCAGCAGTCCGTCTGTCTGCAAGATGTAGAGTGTTAGTGGCTGTTAGACTAAATGGGATATTCCCACTTACTCCTCTTTGTGATGTGAGCCGCTACCACGCGGTCGCCTGCCTCGTGTGGCTGACAGCACAATCGTAAACTGCATAAGACTCCAGGACCAAATGCCCAGAGTGAGAAACACCAAAAAGCCAATTCGCGCAATGGAATCGTCTTTGTAGGAGTCGAAGAACTCGATGATATCTGCCGCAGTGCCAATATATACTAACAACAGCTGGCTGAGCTGGTCGCGTGTCAAGTCTCCTTTGGGCAGCAGCCAACGGCCCACGATCAGGATGAGCATAAGGAACTGCTCGATGAGCGTGGTCCAAGTATCTGGGCTAATGACGGGCAAAGTGATCCCAGCATCATCCAACAGATCAGCGACTGGCACCATTGCGCTGCTGTTTGTGGTGCTGCTGGAGGTGGTGGTGGCGCTTGCGGCGATGATGGTGTTGGTCAGATTGCTGTCGTTGATGGCATTGCTGGCATTTGCATTGACCAAGGAGCCATTTATCACCAGCAGGCGACGCTCGATCTTGTCCAATTCAAGCAGCCAGATGGCCGGCACAATGCTGCTCAGGTAAAGAAAAACCGAGGGGCAGAACCTGCAGAGAAGGCGAGAAGGACATGAAGAACTGGCGCAAAAGCGAATGTCCAAAACAAACAAACAAACAAGTCAAAGTGATGCGCCCCGCGCCGAAAGGTAAACAACTGGCAAAAGACACAAGCTAGCAATCTAGTGCCAAAGTGAAATTCCATTAATGTTTTTTACTACAACGTCGCGTGGGTGGGTGCCTGGAGGAGTGGTCTGTGGGCTGTGTGGTCATGATGGTCTGTTCTTGGTGGTTGCTTGCACACACATTAACCACATGATTTCACTTTTAATTGAAAATCAAAATTGCCGAACGAACATGACGTCAGCTCCAGCCGATTTTTTGTTTACATTGACTCAAACCCCAGCGATTACATGAATGCGTAGCTCAAAGGATCTGTCCACTTACCAGCGCCATTCTTGCGTCTTCTTGATCATTATGGTGAAGATGCCCTCCAGCAGCAGCAGCAGCAATGGCCCACATAGCGTCCAGTATATGATATCCTTCTTAAACGTGGTGACCTGCCAAATGGCCAGCAAACTGTGGGCGCTGAATATGATGCGCGTGAGGATCGCCTTAATCGTTGATATTATTTTGGCCATGATCAGATGCGCACCATAGTCTCCAAGCTACACTGCTAACTACTAACTAACTAACTAAACTAGTCAGTTGCAGTTGAGACAAAACAGGACACGACGAACCGTACGCAGCGAAGCTCCAAACGCAACTAAAATTGACATTGACAGACAGTAAAAATCGCAAGCGAAATGCTTTCATTAGATGTTTAAACGCTTTTTAGGAAATTAAGGACAACGCAGCGAACAGCGAACATAAACACGAGTAATTGGTGAATGGACAACGGTCGCGTGGTTCTCTCAATAGTCGCCCGCTAAATCCGAATAGTTCAACGTAAAGGCCAAGCAGTGTGCTTAATTATACTACCAGTGGGATATCTGGTAGATTATACTCGTTTTATTTTCTATCATTGAATGCAAATTTCTTAGAATTATTTAACAATATTGAAAACAGTCTTATAAATATTTGTTTAACTTATTCTCAATTGGAAATAATTTTCAATAGATAATAGTGAAATTTGATTCCTTTTGGGCGCTTTCCTGTTAGAAAACGGCCCTGTCAATGACTGGCTAAATGAAATTGAACACACGCGTGGCATGTACCACGAGCTCACACTAGGTATACCTAAAAGTCACATGACCGTTTAGTGCTTAGACAGCTTTAACTACCTTTTACTGGCTACAAATGCAATGCAAACAAGTCGCGAGAGTCAGAATCCTAAACCTTGGCCATCAAAAACTTGGGTATGTCCAGTTAGATGGCCAACTTATGGTTGTCGTTAATCTGCCCCTTAGCATTTTCACCGATTTTTCCGGTTTAGCGAGAGTTAGGTCAATTATTTTGTGCACGTGAAGCAAGCGAGAAAAACATGCGACCAACTGTTGAAAGTATATTTATATTTCTTAGTTTAAAATACGTTAAGTCCGCTCATCATCAATTTAAATTAGGCGCCATTTAATTTAATTGGAAGACATGACTTAAATAGCGTTACCAGATAACCAAAGGAATGTGACTATCGATAGCGCTGCTTATTGAGTTATTAATCATCGATAAAGTAAAATTATTTTTTTTTCCTAAATAAAAATGTGTCAAATTGATGCAGTTGACTTGCCTAGCGTTGCCAGATGTATAAACAAGCCAGAAGAAAGTGAATGTTAAGCATGTTACTATCGATAAGGCTTTTGCCTTAGTTATCACATATCGATAGAGCATTCGACTCTTCTCTATAAACATAATAATAACAAGGCACGTGAATTTTTCTTAAATTGTAAATAAACTAATATTGGCACTAACTAATGTCATCTTCGAGTGAGTCCTTGGCCGCAGCTGATCACGGTGCGACTAGCGATGAGGAAACACAGGTAACTCAGTTGACATAATATTTTAAAAAACATTTCTAATTAATTTTTAATTTCTCATCAGTGCGCAGTTCGCGAGGATCTTAAGACTATGTCTTTTGAAGAGATAATGAAGCTCAAGGAACAGCTGGGCGCAAAAGTCTACAAGGAAGCTGTTCTTGGCAGTAAAAGTGTCAAGCGTAAACAGCCGAAATCAAAAGTAGAACTTAAAAGACTGAACAAAAATCGACCTCGGGAGATAAGTTCAAAGCGTCAAGTGCCATTTTTAGGCGCTGAATTGCGAGTGGAACGTAAGAAAGAAGCGGAGCTACGTGATCCCCGTTTCGATGAAAAGTCGGGCGTCTATGATATAGATACATTCAAGCAAAACTATCAATTCGTAACGAAAATTCGTGACAAGGAAGTGGACCGGCTGAAAAAACGCTTGGACCATGTTCAAGATGATGAGGAAAAGCTGAAAATAAAGCATACCATGCAAAGACTCGTTAATAAGAATGTGGAGGATAAACGCTGGCACATCAAGCAAAACCTATTAAGAGAGGAGCGTAAGGAGATCCAAAAGGCGCACGACGAGGGACGCCAACCACACTATGTGACAAAACGTAAGTTTAGAAAACCCTACGCAATAGCTGGACGTAATAACAATTGCCATTACAGAGGAAAGGCGTGCAAGGGAATTGGTTGCTCAATTTGAGCAGCTGAAAGATACTGGAAAACTAAGCAAACATCTGGAGAAGCGACGCAAGAAGAATGCTGCAAAGGATCGAAAGCGTATAAGCATTGAATAGACATAGATATTTTAGTTATAAATGTATATATATATATATATTAACGATTTATATAATATATTTAGCCCGTTCGCAACATTTTAGCCTCGCGTTTTTCCTGGAGTTCACGTCGCTGATCCTCGACAATAACTTTGCGCTCTTCCAAAAATTGAGCGTATTCCGTGGGATCCAGATCGCGAACTACTTTTATTCCACAAGTTCGTGCAATTCCAATGAGCATCTCACACATTTGCTAATAAAATTAAACCTTGTAAAAAAAATTAAAGCAATATTAATATTCAACTTACTTGCATAGTCAGCATTGCATTGGGTGGATCCTGTATTTTGATAGTCGCTATTTCGTACAAATGCTTCAGAGTAATCTTTCCAGCAACCTCTCGACCCGGAGTCATTGTGCCTCGCTGAATGCCGGCCGCTTGCTTAAGGAAAAATGTGGCTGGCGGATGATGTATGACCAATTCGTAGCTGCGATCACTGTTCATTGATATCCGACATGGCAGTGGTACACCCTCTTTCATTTCCGCAGTTTTCGTGTTAAAGTCCTTGCAAAACGCGGCTATGTTAATGGCTCGCTGTCAAAATGCATTTTATATTTAAATGGTAAACACATATTTACTATGAGCTCACCTGGCCTAACATGGGACCCAATGGAGGGCCTGCTGCTGCCATGCCAGCGGGTATATTTGTTTTTAGTTTTGTCGTATGCGTTACTCGCTCTACTGTTTTCTTTAATGATTTTAATTTCCCTGCTGCTTTAGACATTTTAATTGATTTAATCAACTATTTCAGAATATGGATGTTATGCAAAGAGATCCAATGCGATTGTGAAGAAGAAGAACAAGCAGCTGTTAGCGGCATAGGGACGAGCTATTGAATGAGAGTCCGATGTATCGATATTTAATATAGTTCACAAGAATATCGTTAAAATACATTCTAATAAATTGTATTAATATTATATTGTTAGTATCAAGCAATAACCGACTTCTTTCACACTTTTAATTGTTTCAATCAAATTTTTAGGTTGCTCCTTATTGTCAAAGAAAATAAATAAGCACATTCTGTTAATAACAGGTAAACAAACTGTTACAAGCGAAAGACCAAAATGAACTTATAAAATCGATGAGCGATTAATAGTTCAAAGGAACGTGTTCCAAACGATTTAGCACCGATTTACCTAAAAGACGCGTTTTTTTATTAAAAACAAACAATAACAAATACATTTTTTAAGCTAACAGCGGCTTACAACTAAACATGTCTATTGAAATTGAATCAGCAGAGTAAGTATAAGGAATTGCACATAATATGATTTAATAAATGAACACACCTTTACAGCGTTATTCGTCTAATTCAACAATACCTAAAAGAATCCAATTTGCTCAAAACGCTTCAAACCTTACAGGTAAGAACACATTTTATTTAATAAACTCAATATACTACTTTGAAACTATGCAGGAGGAAACTGGGGTTTCGCTCAATACAGTAGACAGCGTCGATGGCTTTGTGCAAGATATCTCTAATGGTCACTGGGACACTGTGCTTAAAGTAACACAATCCCTCAAGCTGCCTGACAAAAAATTATTAAATCTCTATGAACAAATTGTCTTAGAATTGATAGAGCTGCGAGAATTGGGCGCCGCTCGATCTTTACTACGTCAAACAGATCCAATGAGTATGTTAAAACAGCACGAGCCCGAGCGGTATATACATCTAGGTGAGTGTCAATGCTTTTCTATGCATAAACCCTATTTATGCTGCTTATCTCTTAGAAAACATGTTGCAACGGGCGTATTTCGATCCCCGCGAAGCTTATGCGGAGGGTAGCAGCAAGGAGAAGCGCCGAACTGCGATTGCGCAGGAGTTGAGTGGTGAAGTGCACGTGGTGCCCTCGTCAAGGCTTTTGGCGTTGCTTGGCCAGGCGCTTAAGTGGCAACAGCATCAAGGTCTCTTACCACCCGGAACTACCATCGATTTATTCCGTGGTAAGGCAGCCATGAGAGATCAAGAGGAGGAAATGTATCCGACGCAGCTGTTTCGACAAATTAAATTTGGTGAAAAGTCCCATGTAGAGTGTGCACAGTTCTCACCAGATGGACAATATCTGATAACAGGAAGCGTGGATGGCTTCTTAGAAGTTTGGAATTTTACAACTGGCAAAGTACGTAAAGATTTGAAGTACCAGGCGCAGGACCAGTTCATGATGATGGAGCAAGCTGTGCTGGCATTAACCTTCTCGCGTGATTCTGAAATGGTTGCATCCGGGGCCCAGGATGGCCAAATAAAGGTTTGGCGCATTATTACCGGCCAGTGTCTCCGCAAATTCGAAAAGGCACACACCAAAGGCATTACCTGTCTGCAGTTTTCTCGCGACAACAGTCAAGTGCTCAGTGCTTCGTTTGACTATACTGTGCGTCTTCACGGTCTGAAGTCTGGCAAAATGCTTAAGGAGTTTAAGGGTCACACGTCTTTTGTCAATGAGACCACGTTTACACCCGACGGTCACAGTGTCCTAAGTGCTTCGTCCGATGGCACTGTTAAAGTCTGGTCACTGAAGACTACAGAATGCGTAGCTACGTACAAGCCCTTGGGCAACGAACTAGCGGTTAACACGGTGCTTATATTGCCAAAAAATCCGGAGCACTTCATCGTTTGCAATAGATCCAATACAGTTGTAATTATGAACATGCAAGGGCAAATCGTACGATCATTTTCATCGGGTAAGCGCGAGGGCGGCGCCTTTATCTCAGCCACCCTCTCACCCCGAGGCGAATTTATTTACTGTGCTGGTGAGGATCAGGTGCTCTATTGTTTCTCGGTTTCTTCAGGCAAACTAGAGCGCACTCTGAATGTATGTATTTTTGTTGTTATCGTTTTGAAACTCGCTTTATTAATTTGCTTTGTGTTTAGGTACACGAAAAAGATGTCATTGGGCTAACACATCACCCTCATCAGAATCTTTTGGCCAGCTATAGTGAAGATGGTTTGCTTAAGTTATGGAAGCCTTAGTTTCAATAAGCGCTGATCAACTGCTCTCATACTAAGTTTTATTTAGTAGCAATAGATTTTATCTATCAAAATATATGTATTTTATTTACCAGCACTGTAATACTAACTGTGTTTGGTCAGTCGTAGTTTTAGATTTTCTCATGCCCTGTATCAATATTGTCAATCATGTCTCTATCAAACAAATTGACTTTAATTAAGAATTATGCAAAGCCACAACGACAACGGCTGCGGTAATCCGCTGTCTTCGTTTCAATTGGTCTATAGATCTGAATTAGTCAAGCAACTGCATTCAAGTGAACCAGTTGTGCCTCGCACAGCCACGCTCTGTCAATATGAAAAGCGACGAGATCATTGAGAAAATACGCAACAAGCTCAAGGAGTCGGATCCCAACAAACGAACTGTGGTCAACACATTTCAGTTCAATTTTACGGATACCGATGGCAAACTCATTAAGAGCATGGGTGAGTTATTGCCATTGCTTTAGTTTGGCGTCTCCTGCTGACCATCTTACTGTAGTATTTGATTTCAAAGCTCTGGACATTTATGAAGGCACCGCAGCTAATGCCGACGGCCGGGTTACAATAGCTGATGAGGACTTTTATTTGGTCGGTACTAAGCAAAAGAGCTTTGAGCAAATGTTGGAACTGGATAAGGCTAAAGTCGATGGCGATGCGGATGCCATTAACAAAATGTTGGACAAATTTCGTCTAAATTCGCAAAAGTAAAAATAAATTAAATTCTGTATAATTTACATGTGCAATTTGCAATTAAATAAAACAAACAGAATGACAAATTAAGCTTCTTTTTGCTGGGTTTAAAAATTTGCGATTACAGCTAGGCTTCTCAGGTTCGAAATGCTGTGGATGAAGTCGATAGTTGAGTGCAAAATATGTCTAATGGCTACTGGTGCACAGTGAAGGTGCCCGATAAGAAGTGACTTTATTTCTACGATTAAATAGTCTTGAAATCTATGAGCTGAGCTGAGCGAATAGAGCTTGCTCTCTGTTTTGGCAGATAATGGAAAATTTATTGCCACTGTACACGTCCCAAAGGTATAAGCAACTATGTGAATATAGAAACTCTTTCTATTTCAGTTTCTTTCAGTGTAGATCTCATGTTTATGTAGCATATTTTCCTCTAATGCGCAGAGCATATGTAGAGTGCCAAGTTAGTAATTCTAAATTTCGTTCGTCCTTGTTAAAAGATTGTCAAAGGAGCAAAGAAGAATTTCTTTCGATATTCAATGAGTAGATCCATCCATCCATTATTTATTCGTTTTCCCACTCGATTCATCCTAATAATCATTAAGCGTTTGAAAGAAAAAAATATTTTGTATTCCTATTAGACAAAAATTCTGTCTTGGTCTTATGCAATAAAAGTCACATTATGTCTTGGTTTAGTATTCGTTTATTTAATTACCTTTATTTATATTTAATGTTAACATGGAATTGTTTTTGTAGGTGTTTTGTTCAATTTTAAAATTTTGCGTTTAATCAACTATCTTTTGCTAAAGCGTAGCGTTCTATGCCAATGCATACGCTTGGTTTTCTTTTGTTTTTTGCTGTTTTTTTATTTTGGTTTAGGCTTGACATATTGTTTAGTATAACGTATCTTTCATTTGCTTGCCTTGCTTAATTATAGATTTAAATGTAAATTTAACACTTGCTTGTTTAATTTAACGTTGTGTTTTGTTTAGTAAACGCTTAGAACATTTTACGGGGATTTGGCCGTTTGTTTGTCAAACATTTTTATTTAATTTTTATATGTTTAGTAAATAGGTTTTAAATTTATGTTTATTTTTTATTGCTAGAACACAAATTCAAATTTTTTAATTAACTAATTTAATTGGGGTTCGCTTTAATGTCATACAACAACAAAATTTATACACTTAAACTAAATATCTTTAGTTAGTTATTTATTTTTATTTTGCAATTGTTTAAAAATAATTAATTATTTCTTATAAAATAGTTGATCTTTATGCATTCTGCAAACACTTTAACAACGTTTTATTTGTTTTCTTTTTTTATTTTTATGTTTTTCAATGTATTTGATTTATTCATTATGTTTTTATTAAACACCTACATACTTTTATTAAAATGATTTTTAGGTTGAACTGTTTAAGTTTTTCTCATTTATTTAAGCTTTTAAATTTTTTTTATGCAAAACGTACGAGCGCTATGAAACCAATAATTTTTTTTTTATTTCCTCAAATATTCATCTATGTTTTAGCATTATGATCAAAAATCTCATCCTGAAATAATGTAAATAATCATATTTTTTACCATTTTAAATTTGTTTTCTTAAGAAAGAATGTAGGCGTCATCATATCATTAACATAATCCGAACTAAAAAGAAAAAATTAATTAATTAACATTAATTATTAATACTCAACGAATGGCATAAATAATTTACTATTGTTTTCTGTTTGTTTTCTAATGTTAGCTTTCCGTTTTTTATTTATTGTATAATTGTTTATTATCATCCTCTTTAGCGTGTAGATTTTTAGAAATTTGTTTTCTTTTAATGTCGCTGCATCATTCCCATTAAATGCCTATAAAAACGTGCTTAAATAGACAAAAATCTTTGAGTTTATCAATTTTGGAATTTGTGTGGCACGACAATTAGCGCTTTAAAATTTAATTGTATTAATACATTTTGTTATTACTTATTTATACAAAACTCTCAATTAAAGGATTTTGCGTTTAACTTTTGCTGGAAGATACAGGTTTGATAGTCACTAATTCTTTTATTTATGCATCCTTCTTCATGTACGTATGTATCCTATGTATGTTATTTATGTATGCACTTGTTAAAAACTTCAGTTTATAAACATGTTTAACTTTAGTTCCTTCGGCTCCTCGGGTGTGTAAAAAAGGTGTAAATAAAAGTTATACGCGCCTGTATAGATATACTGTATGTATTTATGTTTATTGTTTTATGCCCTTTAATAAGTAGAATTGTTTGTTTACTTTGCTTGCGGTTCGAATCTATTTCCTTTTTGTTCATGTGAATGTGTGTTATTTGCTTTTTTAAATTTTTTGTTTTTGATTTTGTTGTTTGGTTTTGTATAATTCATTCAATTTATGCTTCACCTAAATATTACTCGTATCAAATATAAAAATCAACAACTTTTGCGGTCTCATTTGGCTAAGAAAATGCTTTACATGTTGCCGCCTGGCTTTTGCCATCTATGAACCACAAGTATGGTTTGTCAACTTCCCATTCTCTCATTTTCGCATTTTCGCATATCTTTTGTCATCCGTAGTCGCTATGTGTATAATATAGTATGTATGTATAATTAAATGTAATTATTATTTGTTTTCTGTCTTCTTCGTTCATCGTAAATCGTAAATCGTTAATCGTTAATCGTTAATCGTTTATCATTTATCGCTACTGCATTGTTTACGCTCTACTGTACTTTATACGTTATTCGCGCCTCCTTTATAGCTTATTAAATATACGTCTTAATCAATTCGCACTTTTGCATAATTTTTCGTCTTTTAGGTATTGTTAACTTTTGAATTTTTGTTCAAGTTCTTTTTGCTCCAGCTGTTCGTACTCATTTACTTAATGTGTCCTTCAACTGGGCCACGACTTAACCTAAAGCGCTTTATAGCTGAAACTAGCGATAAAAATACTTAAACACATAGTTAAACGTTAGCCATTTGGTTTACATGATCGATATTATCTTCGTCGAAATGCACATCGTTAATAAATATATCGGCAGCCAGTTGATCTTCATCCAGTTCCAGATCGTCGTCGTCCTCGTCATCGTCATCGTCGTTCATAAGACCGTGTGACATGTCAACGCCGGCTATACATATGTGCGGTGGCGGTGGCACACTGGTGGGTGGCAGTGGTGCCGGTGGAATGATCAGCGTGCCGCTATTAATGCCGTGTAAGCTGCCCGCAATGCTCGCCCCACCACTCTGCAAATGACGGCGACTGGAGCTAAGACCAGCTGAGAAATATTTATTTGTTTAGCGTGTTTAACGTTGAACCAGTAAGAGACGTTTGTACAAATTACCTCCAAAAATAATAAAAGCCAAAAACAAATCAAAAAAAACCTAAAATTTTATAAGAAATTAAAGACAAAACGGAACAGAAATGATTCAGCAATTGAGCAGTTCAGCTTTGGCCCCTCTTGCTTACCCGTTGCACTCGTCTGTGAATCATAGTGTGCATTTCGATGTAAACCCAATTGACGCACGTGATTTCTACGTTTTCTTCTGGAGTGACAGAGTGTGCATAGGAGACAAATTAGGGACGAGGCGACGACTAGTGTTATTATAATTAGGACGTCGTGATCCTCCTCGGCCGCTTCCGTGATACCTGTTCCAGGAATTAACACGTAAATAAACGAAAGTGCAAAGCAAATTTAACAATTGTTAATACAGAGTAATACAGAGTTGTCGAAATACTATACACATTATCGTGGGCTTTCAAACACTTTTATTATGTTGATGTTTTAAATGTTGATGTTACTTAGATAATGTGTAAATGAGTCTCTAGCTAACTGGCAGATAATGTAAAGACTGGTATTCTTCTCTTCGTACTGCTCTGCAGTCGATGTGTTGGCATTAAGTAGTTGATTTATCATAGTTTTATGCATGGTTTAGTTTGGGTATAACAGTTCAGAATGCAGCTCAGTTTATCTTTAGTGCATAGATGGGAGGTGGGCAAGAAAATAAACAGTTAAGTGCAGAACAGAAAAAAGCCAGAATTCTAAAGGAAATGTTTCATTCAGCATGCCTTTGAAACGCTTTCCAAATGCTACAGCAATAGAAAACTCAAATATGCAACCGAAGAATACAAACAAAAATAGGGGGAATTTATAGGTAATACTTGATATAAGGGGACTTTTCTAGCAATATCTCTCTAGAACGATGCTTTATTGATAAAGGTGTCGCTTGTGGCAAGTTTTCAATTTGTGAGTTGTGGAGTTGGTGGGGCTCGTTTATATTTAGTGTGCATGTCATGATTGTGGCTGTGGGCGTGTGCATCGATTTGAGACAAGTTTATGCAGGACTCACGTGTTATATGTGACCAAAAGTATTATGTTTTTCTTATTCTTAGACATTAGCATTTAATTGGCGTATAATTTATGCTTTGCTAAATTACTCAAAACTCTTGCCATGTTTTTTGTTTTGTTTTTTGCTTTTTTGTTATGTTATTGTAACAGTTATCATCACTTTTGATTATCGTGAAAATTCCTTTAAGTTGGCAATCCAATTTAAAATTTGTATTTATACTTTTTGATTTAGTTGTTCAGTTTATTAGGGATTTAGGTTTATTTAACGTTTTAGTTGTACGTATTCAAGACTAGTGCCATAATTGATAAAACAAGTGTTTGTAGAAATGTGGGCAAATGCGTGGAGTTTGCGTCACCTGTGTCATTGTAACGGGTTGTTTCAGGTAATTGATTCGGATTATTGTTAAGGAGTTTCAAATGTCACGTAAAGATTGTTAGTTTTCGGTTGGTTTAAGTGGAAAAATCACATCGAGAAAGTATAGAAAAGAAAGACAAAGAACAGAGAGAAATAGAAGAAGACATGTGAGTAAAAGAGATAGTTTTAGTGTGGGCGTGGCTGTTGTTATTACTGAGAGCGCTGTGTGTAGGTTTTGTACGATTAAGTATGCCGTTTGATATGTAAAAGTAGATGTATAGGTAGAACAATAATTATGCATAGCTTAAGAGTGATTTTATGAGTGAACGAATGGGTGAAACTTAATTAACAATACGAAAATTGTATGTACAAAAATTCTGGCC